AGCGTCAATCTTTTTGTCGTTCAGTATCGTCGCTCAATCCCTGGAGCGATTTGCGAAGGGTACCGGGCTCCGATGGGCTTCGGAGCTCCCTCCAATGAACCGCGATGCCAGCGTACGGAGGGTTACAGTGGACAACAAGCGTCCCCATTTATGACTGCGGCTCCCATGAATGCCCCACCCAGACAAGCGTCAATGCAGAACTTCAGCAATGACCCTTTTGCCACTCTATCGTAGTTAGCACGAAGCAGCGATCGAACAGAGGAAGTCTTAAAGAAAACGAATCGGAACGCATTACATGAGAAATGAAGTTGAGCTTCGAAGGAGCAACGTACTCATGAGAAATGAAGTTGAGCTTCGAAGGAGCAACGTGTCAGAGTCTGGGATCTAGAAACCTAGAGGTTGACCCCATCGACACCGACATCATGCTGCCTCCACGACGTCGACAGGACATTTGCTCGCGGCTTCTGAGCTATCTATTTAACTGGTGACCTGACTATCCTCTCCCGACTATGGCATTGTTATTTATCGGGAACCCTCCCTTAGCATAAATAATGGCATTGGACAGCTAGTGCCAATACATACCGTGGCATGTACAGTGAGCAAACAATAAATAAGAGCATAATGTAGAGCGATCTAGCATCATTTTAAAAATGCACAACCTGTCGAAATCACACGGTTTCCGTGCCTACTTTGTCCGAAATGAAGAGTGAGCGCTCCGTGATGAATAGCATAATGATGAAGAAATCTTTTTATACATAATGGTAGATTGGCTTTTTAGCAAATTGATTATTTATTGCATTCGTAAAGTCGACGAAATAAATACATTTCGGATTGCAAAAGAGATTTTTGCGTGCTACCTGATGGTAGCTTTATTTCGATACAAACATTCGCCAACATGAATAGATAACATAAAAATGGTAGTCGCTCGAAAGTATCTTCGTATTTTTGTCGTGAAGCACCTTACCTTACCTTCCCTTCCCTTCCCTTCCCTTCCCTTACCTTACCTTACACATTACCTTACCTTACCTTACCTTACCTTACCTTACCTTACCTTACCTTACCTTACCTTACCTTACCTTACCTTACCTTACCTTACCTTACCTTACCTTACCTTACCTTACCTTACCTTCCCTTACCTTACCTTACCTTACCTTCCCTTACCTTACCTTCCCTTACCTTCCCTCCCTTCCCTGAA